AAATATTCAAAGAGATGATCGGAAATATGTACCGATGTAGAGAGAAAAAAGCTAAGCAAACGTTTTCTGTAGGCCGGGGATGTCACCAAACAGCAGTCAACTATGATAATATCAAGAAAGTCGTGTACAGATAATAAACCTTACAGTGTATAGATAATCTATCATAGCGAATTAAAATAGTTCCAATCTCCTTAGCAGAGCCGGCTCAAGCCAATTTTCAAGCGCGTGTCAAAAATGTTTCTGCGCGTTTTTATATCAAAAAATTTTAATTTTTTTAAAGCTTCTGTTGAAAGGTGCTTTTATATGAATAACGAGGCGCCTTTCGAGTCTTCGCGCCTATGTGTTGGGCACGCCCGGAACACGCCTTCAGCCGGCCCTGCTCCTTAGGATCTGTACAGGGTGTCCAGACAACCTTTTAGCTTTATTTACATCAGACGGTTTTTTCGTGGAAGCAGAGAATTTCACAGCGTTTCTTAGCTATAGTGGCTAGTGCTTTGAGTTCAGAAATATTCTTAGACCTTAAGGTCCCTTTTTTTAGGGTTTTTTATTCTTAGATTTATATTAGATTACGAACCTTACGCATGAAAACAGCAAAAAATCAGGAAGGTGGCCTAGCTAGGCCCCTAGCGAGCACCGACCGAATGGAGGCGTGAGCCTTGTCTTTGATTTGAAAGTCACGAAAGGGCATTGAGTAGCGCAGATCCAGGTTATTATAGTGATGGGACCGAGCGAGTGGAGGCGAGCGTTACCTTGTAAAGTATGAATTGAAATATCACTAGATTTTATTTATTCTCTTATGTAGCTGTTCTTCTTAAACGAATAAAATGGAACGAAATCGAACTCTACTATTGGCTAGCATGGCGCTAGCTGCTCTTACATTATTATTTGCAATAATTAGTTTAGCGACATCTGGGTGGGGCGGAATAAGTATATTTAGACCGACAGTTAGGACAGCTCCAGCCGCTTTAGGAATACTTGCTGTATTGTTTATTATTGCGTCATTAATCGTTACGGCGTTGGTCGTCTTTGCCAAATTATCGTCGAAAATGAGTCTATTACCCATCGTCATGTTTTTTCTCACTTCATTATTCACGATGGGAACGCTGATTGGTTTTTTCAATGGCAATGGCACAGCTGGCTACAGTTACAATTTAATGGCTACGGTCCATGTGTTCATTGTGATTGCAGGTTTAATTGCCGCTTTTGCCAGTGGTGTTCTTCTAGGCGGAAAAACGGGTGCATAGGAAAACTTTTAACATGGAATTATTTACGGAAACATTTTTTCACTAATCTACCTTTTCTTCTCAAGAGCATCATAACGAATGTTGCAGTAGTTCCTCACACCAGCTGGCATAAAAACGTTGTATTCTCCGTTTGTCTCTCGCATTTGGAAATGAAGTACAAAAGGTAGACAAGCATTTTTGTACATATCTCAATGACTACTAATAAATAAGAGGGGAACGTATTTGATCAGAAAACGGCCCGTCATTGTTTTGCCCTGTTTTCACTGGACTTTTGTCGAAAAGACGTTTGCACACATTGCCCAGTTGTTCTTATGCAAAATAAGCTCAAAATACGTTTTTAACCTCGGTTGTTTTGAGATTCCATCAGAGAACGTCGTTCTTAGACAAAACATTTTTGAAAATTCCAGCATAGGTTTCCCACAAACCTTGGTATGAAAAGATACCCAGTGAAAAAAAAATACTCTATGAACAATCCTTATATAGGGTGTCCGTAAAGTCCTTAGAGTTAGAAAATATTCAATATTTTCTTTATTCTTTACCCAAATAAGCTGATTTTTTTTCTGAATGTGCAAAGTAAATAGAAGTGTTTATTCTCCATGTGACTTTTTCCTCTGGGGATATTTGAAAGACACGGTGTTTAAACAGCCACTTACACAGTGGGCATTTAGGCGGCGTTTTCTGAAAAAATCGTAGGTGCGAATTTTTTTGTTTTGAATAGTGGTGTATATAGTATAAACAATTCCCTATTTAATGATAAAAAAATTTTTGTTCTAGCTCC